TAAATGTTCTGACTATATTTGACAAATTGGGATTCTCAAAGTCTACAACAATTACAGTCTAATTCTACAACACCATGGCAAAAGAAACGAACAAGTGTGATCAAAGTAGTTTGATTCCCAAACAAATGACTCTGATTCTGAATCATGAATCCGTCTCAGAGCCGCTGAGTGATCAGGTTGAGGTAAATGAAGTAAGTAAATGTGTGCTCAGGGAATGCATGGAGGAGCAGCTGGAGAAGGAGGCGCGTTTCCGCCAGCTGATGGCCCACAATTCCCATGACTCGGCTATCGATACGGACTCTCTGGAGTGGGAGACGGAGACGGTGGAGTTTGAGAGGAGTACGGTACGTAATCGAGTCATCACAGCTGTGACGAACCTCCAAATTCAACAGTTCAACACCTCACCGTCTCTGATCTGACGTACAGGACGACATGGATTTGAGTGCTTTGGGCTTTGATATCGCCGAGGGTGTGAGCGACCCGTATCTACCCGGGGATTATGGGATATTCGTGAGCAAGGTGGACAAAGGAAGTGTTGCGGAGGGCAGGTTGAGGTAGGCGGACTCTGCTTTCGGTGTCTCCTGTGAAACACTCATGTGCGATTCTAACCAGTGTTTATTCTTACGGCAGAGTGAATGATTGGTTGTTGAAGATAAATGACGTGGATCTGGCCAATAAGGACAGGAAGCAGGTCATAAAGGCGGTGTTCAGCGGGGGCGGAGTCATCAACATGGTGGTACGCAGGAGGAAGTCTTTGGGAGGACGGATGGTCACTTCTGTTCATCTGACGCTGGCGGGACATAAAGGTGAGATCGAGGGTCTTTGTCTTTCTGGACGTCCAGCAGATCCTCATCTCTGTTATACATCTCTCTCTCTCTCTGTCTGTCTCTCAGATTGTGGTGTTGGGTTGGAGAGCGGCGTGTTTGTGTCGTCTGTTTCTCCAGGCAGTCCCGCGGCCAGAGACGGTTCAGTGTGTCCCGGCGATCGGATTCTCAATGTGAGTCGACTCGTGCTTTTCTTTGCATCAGCACCAGTTCTCCAGGAGTTTCTGATTGGCTGATAGTGACGTGTTGCAAATGATGCAACCGATTCTCCCTACACTCTCAAACTATTTGAGTAAAACTACTTTTTTCTCTAAACTTAAATTTTTTTTTATATATATGTGACCCTGGAGCACAAAAGCAGTGTTAAGTCGCTGGGGTATATTTGTAGCAATAGCCAACAATACATTGTATGGGTCCAAATTATAGATTTTTCTTTTATGCCAAAAATCATTAGGATATTAAGTAAAGATCATGTTCCATGAAGATATTTTGTAAATTTCCTACCGTAAATATATCAAAACTTAATGTTTGATTAGTAATATGCATTGCTAAGAACTTCATTTGAACAACTTTAAAGATGATTTTCTCAATATTTAGATTTTTTTGCACCCTCAGATTCCAGATTTACAAATATTGTCCGATCCTAACAAACCATACATTAATGGAAAGATTATTTATTCAGCTTTCAGATGTATGAATCACAATTTTAAAAAAATGTACCCTTATGACTGGTTTTGTGCTCCAGGTTCACGTATATAAATGACGATGATTGTGAATACTTTTATTAGGAATGTGATTTTTTTTTTTCAGTACTTATACATATTTATGTATTATTCGACCTAAAGTATGGCCCACGTGAATTAGTAAATCAGAGGAAAAAACTGCAGCATTTTCAAATGGATTTTAAAATAAACATATACAATTTTTCTAACCATCTTCCCAAATTTGTAATGAGAATTATTTATAAATCTGTTGATGAATAAAGCTTTAATATCTCCCAGCAGTTTTCTGCCAAAATAAATGCTCTATGGTTTAACATTTGAAAGTAAAGAAATTAAGACCAATAAGAAATTTATTATTATTATTTTACTAAACAACAGTAAAATTACAATACTACTGTTTATGGCTGTCTTAATTTCTTTACTTTCAAATAAAAAAATAAATAAAAGTAAAGTATTTAATAATAATAATAATAATAATTATTATTATTAAATACTTTTTTATTTTACTATACAACAGCATTGTAATAGTAAGATGCTTTTTATTGATTTGATTAAATTATATAATTTAAATAATGAATAACAATATTATTTTTAATAATTATTATATTATATTATATTAGTAAATTATATATACTTATGTATTACTACAACAGTAATATATTTCTTTGATTTGTTCAATTTTTATTTAAATAACAAAATACTTTGCATAATAATAATTATTACTATTATTGTTTTCCCTCATCATTATCATCATCATAATAATAATAATAATAATAATAATTATTATTATTATTATTATGAGGGAAAGCATGTTTTCCTCTTTTTGTAATTTTGATCACTTGCCTGCTTTGTTTACCATTATTTTTCATGGCAGTGCTTCAGAGGATGTTCACTCATTGAAGAATTTAAGTACAGAGTCTTTTTATGTACAGAAATAAAGTACAAAGATTTCTGCCTTGTATTCATGCCATGTACTTTTTCCCCCTTCAAATCATAGTTTGTAATGTTCATGTCAGAGCTAAATGTTTGATTCCACTGCCTTTAATAAAGTTTGAAATGCATATGGAGAGCAGGTATGAGAAAAATGCAAATAGATCCCAAACTGCTTAAAAAGTGGGCCACACTCTTAAATTGGGAGGATCTGATTAGTCGATAGAGCAGAGGTTGATTTGCATATATTAGAGTAAATACAGGCAATACAGAGTGAGATCTCTGAGGTAAATGAATATGTCACGCTGTGTTTCGAGTATATATGTTGTGATTATTTTAAGGTTTTAAAATTTTCTCTGGCAGATAAATGGGATTTCACTGGATAATAAATCAGTGAGCGAATGCGAGAGCCTCCTGCGGAGCTGCAGAGACTCTGTTTCTCTTTCTCTCCTAAAGGTGAGACATTATTGATTATGTACCTCCTTTTTTATGAGAGGAATTCATTCAGCGTACTCACTTCCGTATGTTTTTCCGTATCCCAGTTCTTTCCACAGAGTCTGTCGGGTCAGAGTATCGCTGAGAGCCAGCGTGACTGTGAACGAAACTCGTCAGCGGATCACCTGCGGCCCTGCAGGAAGCAGCCCACCCATAAAGACATGTACAGCCCCACGCGTGACGTGGAGAGCGAGCGCGGTCAGCGCGGGACACTGTATCATGAGATCTGCTGCCCGCATCCCACCTCCAAACGAGCCCTCACCTTTCACCCCGTTTCCCCCGGCGACTGCATCACCGTGGAGATGAGTCAGGAGAGACGATGCATCCCGCAGAAACAAAGCGGCGGCACTTGGCCCAAAATGGTAGCGGTTGCCATGACAACAGCCGAGAGCATCCCACCGCTCTCTATTTTTAAGACCCCAAAGAAGCGGAAGTCGATATTCGACGCAGACATGTTCAAACGGCCGGAGACGCCCTCCAAGCTGGACTACCTCAGTTTGTCCCAGATGCCCAAACATTCCCCGCAGAGCTCCTGGATTCAGGCGGCGCCGCAGATCCCGCCCGACCCGCCCAAACGCAGCGACTCATTCAAGTTCAAACACAAACCGCAGGGAAGCTCCGCCTCCGATTCGACTGTCACCACTGGCTCGCCCCCGGCCACGCCCATTCAGACCACGCCCGCAGACAAAACCAGTCCTGATTTTGAAAACCGAGACCGTAATGGGAATGTGCTTCAGAGACAGGGCTCTGGCGGCGGCGGCGGGTCCTTTGTGGAGGAAGTGCCTGGAAAGGGCGCAGATGAACTGGAGATGAGGAGAGGAAGGCCAAACTCTGCTCCTGCCCAGCGCCGCAGCCTCACACCACTTAAGATGCCGTTTTCACAGGTACTGCACCTCTAACACCTGTAACACGCCTGACAAACAGCGCCTGATTAAGTTATCTTTCACGTCTGATTGCACTAATACTGTCAAAAACACACAAGGTTTACATATAATCACTGATGGTTGTGTCTAAAGTGAAAGTAAACAGTTGAGAGAAACGGATGCATGCAGCTCTTAAAGTGACAGCAGACTAATAGTACTAAACATGCTGCCGCTTGTCATTAAAGGGACAGTTCACCCAAAAATTTTAATTCTGTCATTATTTACTCACTCACATGTTGTCCCAAACCTGTATTAATTTATTTCTTGTGCTGAACACAGAAGAAGATATTGAAGAATGTGGATAACCAAACACTTGCTGGTCCCCATTGACTTTGATAGAAGGAAAAAAAATGCTATGGAAGTCACTGGGTACCAGCAACTGTTTGTTTTCGCTTTTAAATAGCTTGTAAATACCCGTGCGCGTTTTGCTTTCGAATTTGTGGCAATTCTGTGTCAATTGCTTGAATTGACAACAAAACAGTACAACGACAAACTCACTTATATTAAACATAGAACTTTATTAACAAACCGAATAAAAATACACCATGCTATAGGCCTAATATAAAATAACAAATAACTTACACAAAGTTTAAATATCGAAAACTGAAAATCAGCAAACACTGTGGAAATAAATAAATAAGAAACATAGAATGTTTATTAGCAAAACGAATAAGAAAGCTTGGAGGCACGGCATACACCTTGATGTAAAATAATATAAATAAATTACACAAAGTTTAAATAAAGTAAAAATCAGCAAACACTGTGGAACCAAGAAACGAATGTTAAAAAACGTCCAAAATTTCAATTGAAAAAAAAATTTTTTTTTTGCATAATAAATCGTTATATTGACTAGCCAACTTATCTGTGCACCTTCTAACCGGTGCTGATAATCTTCACTTTCTCATCTCTTTTCTTCTGCTGCAGAGCTTCTCTCATGATGAACACTCTCCTGAGCCTGTGGATCTGGTTCGGTTTTCTCCTTTCCGTTCAAATCGTCACAGCTTCTCGCCTGTACAAGCACGTGAGTTTGAAACACCTGCACAACTATATTAGTTTTAGGAATAGCGGAGTCAAAAATGAAAATCTAGAACACAAAAGTTGACGTTCATGCTGCTTTTTTCTGTTCAATGAAATCCATTGATTTCCTCTGTATAACTTCTTAAAACAAGTTAAAACAATATATTTATAGATGCAATGATGTCAAAAACATGTATCTGTGTGTGTCTAGACACCGCTCCCAGAACGCTGTCTCCCTACCCCGCTGTGACCGCAGTGATGAGGAACCCAGTGTACACGGCCTGGAGTCACTGCGTCAAAACCACCAACTCTCCGTCAGTTCCAGCACACACATACACTCAAGTCAGGTACACACCAGAGTATGTGAGCGGAGTGGAGCGGCAACAATTTCCCCTCCGAGCATTTAATAATCACTCCGCTCCAGGTTCAACATTTCCCGCTCCTGCTCCACTCTTCAGATGAAGTAGCACTGTATAAGATTACATTTGTTTGAATGCATTATTGAGAGAGCGATTGCATGTGAATAAGTGTTGTACCTGTTTAAATCATGATTTCACCTGAAAATATTCAGTATCTAGACTCTAGAGGGAACAAGCTAATTCCTTAATAACTACCCAATAACTTCCCGCGACCCGCTTTGTCCATTGCCGTCAACATAGCCTTCACATTCTTTCTGATTTGAGTGATCCTTCTCTATCAAGCTAGCTAAATATGTTTAACGTGAATTCTTGCTAAATGTGCAGTTATATTACGGGCCGTTGGCATGAATTGTACTCGTGGTGGAGCGCTCTTGGAGCGAATGAAAACCACGACGCTCCGACTTTTAAAAAAAAAATCCGCTCCTCGCTCCATTCAAAATCACACTGCTCTGCTCACATACTCTGGTACACATATACACACACACACACACACACACACTCTCTGATAAATCCGCTCCTCGCTCCATTCAAAATCACACCGCTCTGCTCACATACTCTGGTACACATATACACACACACACACACACACACACTCTCTGATGAATCACGACTGTTCTGATGCGAGACGCTGCCTCTCTCTGTTCTCGAGTGCAGTCCGCAGCACCAGGGCCGATGGAGTGTGGATCTCAACCACAAGCGCTCCACTGAGCTCTTCGACGGCTCCCGCGGTTCGGTTCAGCACAACACCAACTCCCTGCCCTCCAGCGCCAGACAGGGTCTGTATCCCAAACGCCACATGCACTAGCACTGCTCATCTCATATTTGGTGATGTTCTGTAGTCAGCATAACATGTGCACTGATATAATTGCCACTTGTCAACAGTAGAGAAACTTTAACTCCTTGTGTTTTTACACCAAAATAGAAGCTCTGTGGTTTAATGTTAAACCAATAGAGACATTTATTATTATTACTGATATTATTATAAGCATGTACCTGAGTGGGTTCGCAACTTTGTCTTTTGCACCCTGACGAGTTTTCATCCCTGTTTTTAGTTTCAATTTATTTAATGACAAAATCTGTTGTGACTGATTGGTAAAACCGTCTAATCATAACTGCTAAGATAAAATCTTTTTGATTAATGAAAAGTCTGTGATTGACACTCGTGGTCTAATAAATGCAATCTGTGATTGTTATCTCAAGTCTGTAGTCAGTAATTGTGGATGAATCTGAAGTCTGTCACTTGTGATTGATAATGGTTGTGTTTGTGTCTGTAGGTTTGTCTCAGTACCGCGAGCAGCGCATTAAGATTCCCTCCACCCCTCGTTACGCGCGATCCGCTCACGGCTCTGATAGAGGTGCTGATCTCTCTGATTTACCGCATGCTTCCTGTGCTGTTACATGGATGTACAAATAATTGTACAAATCATTTTGTTTCAGGATCACTGTCTCACTCGGACTGCAGCAGCCCCAGTCTGGTAACTCCGCCCCTCTCTCCTCTGGACTCCGCCTCCTTCACCAGCAGCCAATCACAGGGCTCCATCTCCGCCCAGACCAGGCTTTCAGTCAGCCCTGTGCCAATAGACAGGAGGAGGGACAGGTAGAAATAGAAATAATCAAAATGAACCTTCTGTCATCATTTACTCACCCTCATGCTGTTTCAAACCCATTTGCAATTTTTTTTCCCTGGAACATGAAAGGAAAAATCATAATTGTTTTCCATACAACAGTAAAATTATTTAGACTTATTAGACTTGTGCAGTGTATTCCAAGTCTTCTGAAGTCATATGATGCTTTGTGTGAGGAATATACTCAAATTCATGAATTACAGAAGCGCTGAAATCAAATATGAGCTCTTTTGAGTTTCACATAAGAAACATAATCATATGGGTCTATAATAACATGAGGGTGAGCAAATGTGGTGCATTTGTCTTTATCTTGCATTCAGTAGTTTGGGCCGTTCTCCTCCTCCTCCTCTTCCTCATAGTTTACTTTACTCAGATCTGCTTGACTTCTTATTCTCCTTTCTAGTCTGTCTGCTCCTCTGCCCCATTTCTCTCTCTGTTCTCCTTCCTGCTCCAGATGTGCGTTGCGTAACAGATCTTACCTGAAGCTTTCTCGAGCTCAGAGATCGTGGTTTGCATCTTTACGGACTCTGAGGTTTGTTCACTATGCAGTGAGAGCACAAAAGCAAACTCTGTTTAGGCTTCATTCACAAATAATATAGATGTGTGTGGTGTTACGGTTCAGTTTTTCATCAGTCTTTTTCTGTTTTCATGTCATGTCATGTCCCTTTAAATGCACACTATTGAGATGTGACCTGATGTTATTTATCACCGAAAGCAACAACTAGTCAATGAAATGCATAATAATCGATAATCAATAATAATGAAAATAATCGTCATTAATTATTCAAATATAAATACGTTTCGAAAGCATCTGTGAAATGCTGTTACTTATCACTGAAATATTTAAATTCTGATTATTTTCATTATAATTGATTGATTATCGATTACGTCACTTCACAGGCCTGAATAACACACTTCTGTGTACAAAACACATCTGAAATATGCCAGAGGACACAGACGGAGCGCAAGTGCACAAACCAAGTCATCAGAAGACATTTTAAAATGCTACATGTAACATAAGTAAACTCATTAACAGTAACTATAAAGGGATTATTGTAATGGGGTGTAAATATTTTAACTTAAACAGTTTAAATGTTTATATTAGGGCTGCACGATTATGATAAAAATCATAATTGTCGATTATTCCCTTGAAATTGTAATTGCGATTATTAGTTATGATTATCACAATTTACATTACAAATTACATGTTTATACAATTGTTTGAAGCAACTGCATGCCATATTTTTATATGAAAATAATCAAGCTGAAAACACTCCAACTGAAAAACTTTTATTGCTTTTCTATACCATTAAGCCCCAAATGTCAACTATACGTCCGATTGGTTTCTTCTTTAAATAAAAAAAAGTGAAAATATGTTATACTAAAACGAAAATTAAAACGATGGAAAAACCCTTAAGATAACCTGAAGAATGACAAAAACACATCTTATGCACGCAGAATAACATAAGTGGACTTTGAATGATTTCGTAATTGTGGCATCTGTGATTGTAATCGCGATTAGGAATTAGATTAATTGTGCAGGCCTAGTTTATATTTGAACCCTTTTTACACAATGCATAGCATTAGCTTTTAATTTGTGCATTGTTTCTATAACTTGTATATATACTATTTATGATTACAAATTTTAATGTTGGGTGTGATTTAATCATGATTAATTACAGAAAAATATGCGATTTAATTAGTAGGATTTATATATATATATATTAGGGCTGTCAGTCGATTACAATTTTTAATCTAATTAATCATGATGTTTCGATTAATTAATCGCAAAATAAATTTGACTGAAAATACCCACTAAAGATTATTTAAAGCTATTTTTGTGTTAAATGAGAAAGTATGAAGTAGACATGACAAATTGTAGCTTTAGAAATAAATATTTTACTTGTTTCAACATAAAATTTATTACACATACACATTTAGGCTGAAATTTTTCATCTAATTAATCATGATGTTTCGATTAATTAAAGCTTAGATTTGTGTTAAATGAGAAAGTATCAAGTAGACATGACAAATTGTAGCTTTAGAAATAAATATTTTACTTGTTTCAACATAAAATTTATTACACATACACATTTAGGCTGCACTGGCCTAACATAAACTATGGAACATAAAAGAAGATAATTTTAGAAACATATCAGTAACCTCTATTTTTTGTTCATTCAATGAAAGTTTTCAAAATACCTTCTTTTATGTTCCACAAAAGAAAGGTTTGAAACGACATGAGGGTGAGTAAATGATGACAGAATTTCAATTTTTTTTTGGATGAACTATCCCCTTTAATGTTTTTATAATTATTATTTATTTTTTTAATGAAATTAAATGATACTGTAAATAACAAACGGAATATGCCAGCAGATGCTGATTCATGCAGGAATGAAGTAAACGGCTCTCTTTATGAATGGGTCTTTGAATCATTGATTCACACGATTCGTTCAAAACGAAACGAAACGCCGCTGTGTTGCTCGGAGACGCACAACAATTCTGCTGTGGCTTTAAATGTAATGTTCTCTGCAAAATTGAGCAAAAACATAATATTGTGTTTAAAATATAACAAAATAATAACTTATTTACTGAACTGTTGTATAAAATCACATTTAAGTTCGTGATAGATCGGGACAAAATCAGCACTCCTGTGATATTGCTCTCGCTGCTGTCATATGTGATATATATAAATATGAGACAAAACTCATACAGGGGCATTTTTTGCACCAATATCTTGAAGTTTAGGGCATAACTGCATTTATGGAGTTGTTTTCCTGCATCATATTTGTTAACAGTCACCTGAATGAAATGTAAGACGATGTACAGGTCTGGGGGCGGGGCCAGAGCGTTAACTGCGTTAAAATATTTTAATCGCGTTATTTTTTCATAATTAAGTTAATGCGTTAAACTGACAGCCCTAATACATATATACTATTTTCATTTATTTATATACCATTTATGATTACAGATTTTAATGTTAGGTGCAATTAATCACGATTAATTACAGAAAAATATGCAATTTAATTAGTTATTTTTTTAATCAATTGATTAATTGATGTGTGTGTGTGTGTGTGTGTGTGTGTGTGTGTATATGTATGTATGTA